ACGAGCACTAAATAGATGAATAAGAAGTCCAAAATAACCTAGTATCCAGATGGTATGCTAGCAGCAGTGCCATAATACTGAAAGCAAAGTTTTTTCTGAACTTCTGACATCCAATGAACGTCAAATGAAGTATAAAAATGGCACGCTTTTGACCATTCAGATAGTCAAAAATCATCTATTTCTAAATTATATTTCATTGAAAGCACATCCCCTCTTTTTTACACCACCGCAACTCACTATACTCTATTTCGATTGATCAACTTTACAGATATAAAGTATAGGATAGTAGAGTTAAAAAAATTTTTTGTTGATATTGATTGTGTTCAAATATGGAACAATTTAAATCATCCTTCTTTTAGTTCGTATAGAAAAAAATTGTTTTCTAAATATTTTATATATTTACATGATTCGGATGTTAGTATATCGTCTCTCTATTTTTTTATGTATTTATATAATTATGTTTCTACCTCTTGTGGACCAAGTACATACCTACACTTCGCCTGAAGCACAAACAGGTTGACCCAAAATGCCAATGAAAACGAAAAACGGCGTTGCGTTGGCGGTTAATAGTACATTAAGAGCCCGCTTGAATGAAAATCCTAGCTGCTCCTTTTTTCAAGATAAGTGGATTTTCACTTCTTCATAACACCAGATGTAATTTTCAACGGTGTGGAAGACATATTATCTATTTGAAAAATTTGTTTTCGCTAATAAAGATATGATTTTAATAGAGACACAGATGTAATACTAAATCTAAAAAACTTCAGCATGGCAAGTAAAATTTTATGATTTATATTTTCGAACGCTTTCGAGAAATCTAATAGTATTAAGATAAAAATCTTGTTTTTATCCATAGCCTTAACTAAATCATCTATAACATCCGCTAGAGCTGTAGCACAGCTATAGCCTGACCTAAAATCAAATTGTCGTTTTTCAAAAACCGTCTCATTTGAACATGTAAAATACTAATTGATCTTAAATCACTGTATTCTTCAGACAAAGTTACTTTTGGTAAGGGCAAAACTTTAGCGAATTTCCATGATTCAGGACAATTACTATTTTTTAAGCATTCATTAATAATGTGTGTAATAATGAGTAATAGAAATGGACAACAAAAGTATAAAATGGTAATATTAATGTCATCCATTCCATAAGCTTTAGATTTGATGTTGTAGATAATATTATTAAAAAATCTTTCAAAACATCATTAAAATAAAAATCTTCAGTGATATTTTCTTTAAAATTGTTAAGGTAAAAATGTTGTAAATCTATTTGTATAGCAGAGTTATTAATGTTTGAATTAAAAAAATTATTACTGGTATTAACATCTTTTAGGTTTGGAGGTGTGTTATTTTTTTTTGTCTCAATGTATTGAGTGTTTTTAATTCTGACCATTTTTCGTTAATATTACAAGTTTGAAATTTTAAATTTAAGTAAGCACTTTTTTCTGTTTTTATAGCTGTAGTTGCGTAGTTTCTTAATTGTTTATAGTAATCCCAATTTGTTGGAAGTTGTGTTTTGAGAAATTTTTGCAAAGCTTTTTCTCTAAGCCTTTGCATATAAATATTTTCAGTAATCCAGGCAGAATGTTTAATTAGTATTCTAGTTTTTTATTTTTTTGGAGCATGTATATCTAAAACTGTAATTATGTAGCTATTTAAAAATTCTACTTTTTTATGAATGTTTTCAATAAAATAAATATTGTACCAGAGCATAGATGCCAAATGATTATAAAAATGTTCATGATTAATCTTTGTAAGTGACCTGTATTCTACTTTAATGTCGTTTTGAGGTACATTGTGAACATTTTTAAATTTGTAATTTATTGCTGAATGACCCGCAAGTAGATTATGGTCAGAAATTTATATTAATATTAGTAATAAGTAAGTATAAGAAAGAGTTACCCCTTGTTGGTTCTTTAATTATTTGTATTAGATCAAATGTTTTAAGTATCTTGTTAAAATGAATTGTAGTAGAATCATCAATATCCAACATATCTATATTAAAATCTACATATAATTAATCAAAATTTTAAAAAATGTTGGAAAACAGAGTTTCAACTTGATCCAAAAACAATAAATTATTACCTCTTGGTTGCTTACATACAGTACCTACTGCTATTATTAAATCCGCCACGAGAACCTTAACAGCAATCCAGTCCCTTCTGACGTCACACCGCACTGATCTAACGACCTCCCCTTAAAGTATTTGGAACCTTGTTTGCTACACAAATTTGGCAATGTCGTGTGTAGTGCGCGAAAGAATAATCATAGGATTGGGTAGGGTCCGATTACAATTACATGAACACAGGTATAGCATCAATTGGCGAAGTAATTCGTTAGCTATCACCGCCTACTGGGGGTTTAGTGGCTTGTTAATATTATAAGGATGTAGGAATACAATTTTTAAACCAAACAACTAAAATCTTTTTTAATTATTGATAGTTACAGATGATATATTGGGTGTCCCAAAATTAGAAGGTCATATTTTAACAGCGTAGTCTACATCCTAAAATAGTAGTAAAAGTTCATATAAACATAGGTCCGAAAACATTTCTTTTCCGAGATAGGTGAAAGGTGAAGTCCTGATACCACACTTTTGTAAATATTTTCTAAAGGTTTAAAGATAATTAGGTAACATTTGGTACAAATTCTCACCTTTTTAAGCTTTATTTATTGGACTAAACCCCAGTTTTTGATCATCTTCATAGGTGGGTAAATTAGGAGGAGCTTAGGATAAAATTGCTCTAAAGTTTTTTTTGTTGGTAGTTTTTAACATTTTTGACTATAAAATTTGGAAAACCAATATTTTCTTTATAATAAAGCTACATTTGTTGCATCTCGCTAGGACACGCCATTTTCAAGAGAAAAGTTTCATGATAAGTTTATGTTATCTTATTTGAAAGTGTAAACAATAATTAGTAGGTCTCTATAATCAAAAATTTTATTTAATTTTTTTAACTTTGGAAAACCGGTAATCAAAGAAATTTTAGAAAATATTTACAAAAATGTGCCATCTGGACTTCACTTGTAACACCGGAACCAGACACAAACCCAGGAGTACCAAAAAGTACAGTCCGGGGTTTTATAAATGACTGGATTCGGGAACAACATATCAACTATTGGGGAAGCACCCCAAAACAGGCACATGGAAAAGCCTTCATAGGCAGACCATGTCCCAAAAGAACTGGAGAACTACTCTTAATGAATAGGAACCAGTTGAAAGTGATAACAGGGTTCATGACTGGGCACGCCCCAGTAAAGGGACACTTGAACAAAATTGGCATGTACAACGTGGAACTCATGTGCCGACTATGTCACAAGAAACCAGAAACGGCCAAACACATACTGTGCGAATGCGAAGCTCTAGATCGCAAAAGACAGGCTCTTTTTGGACAACCCCAGGTTGATCCAACAACGTATAGAACCCACTCACCCAAGGATCTGTACAAACTTGTACAAGGTACAAAGGTGATAGAGTGGGTGCCATGAATTAACATGGGGTAAAACACAAAAAGCCAATAGGCTTCAGTGTTATTCGGAGACACATAGTCAAACGAGCCCAGGAAAAAAAAAAGAAACGAATAATGACAGAGTGTACGATACGATAGTTACAGGTGCGTTACACCAGAAGGCAGCACTTAACGAGGCGTTTTAGCCACTAATTTTGGCGAATTTTAAAAAAGACATTAAGAGTTTAAATTTCGGGATTATATTAAGAATAGTGCTGTTGAGGAATGCATTTATTTTCATTATCATATTTGATTTTTTTTCTCGGAAACTGAAAGGAATTAAAACTTTAAAATATAGGCATATCTACCTAATTTATTTTGCCAAAATTTTAATTTTTTAACAAAATTACTTTTTGAAATACCCTTGTCCGAAAATAATAAAGGCTGCTGCATTCACCTTAATATACCAACATACAGGGTGTTTTAAAATTCATGCGACAAAATTCAGGAGATGATTTCTCGTATGAAATAAACATGGGTCTTTCCTATAACAAAATTTTCTCAGTCCACCCCTTTTTGAGATATCACCCTTAAAAAGTGGTGACTAAAATTGAGTTTTTATTTTTTTTCTAAAATTTCAGTAAAGCTAGAAACTTGAAATTCTGTAATTTTCCTGCACTCGCAAAGGAATAACCACGGGTATTTTTTCAATATTCCAGTTACATTAAAGGGGAGTTTCATATCAAAACTTTCTTTCGAGATGAAGTTTTATGAAATAATTTTATAACTTGAAATCCTTGTTTTATTTAATTTTTTTTTTATTTTTAAATTTTTTTTTCCAAAACCAATAGCTTCAAAAAAAAATTCAATTTATTAAAAAAATTATAAATTAGGGTGTTTTTTTTTCTCTGAAGCTATTGGTTTTGGGAAAAAAATTTAAATAAAACAAGGATTTCAAGTTATAATTTTATTTCATAAAAGTTCATCTCATCTCAAGAACATAACAACGGCTTAACAACAAACTAAGATGATCACAATAATTTCGCATCTCTTCAAAAACAACTATTTTTCGACACAGGAATTAACAAATTTAACTAAACAGCAACTACCCTTTTAACCACGAGCTTCATAGACTAGCAGCTTTGCCATATTCACTGGTATCATTGTTTTAATAGAATTAGTATCGGAATGAAAACTATGTTAATCTTTGGTCCTGTTTAAAATTGGTAATCTTTGTAAAAAAAAGTTATTTAGAAAATAGTTAAGATATTTGTTATAGAATGACGCTAAAGAGCCAAAAAATTAAATTTGTTAAAAAGTTAAAATTTTTGTTGTTTTTCTTTAAAAATATAAGTATTTCACGATTTAGCGTCATTCTTGGTTCATTTTTAGAACGATTGACCTGTACTATTTTTTTTACATTTTTTTTAACTGCTTTAAATGTAAAATTGTTTTTTGGCGGAGGAGCGCCCGTCATGTTTGCTCTTAATAAAGTTTTATCTTAAGTTTAGATTAAATAATTTAGTAAAATTGCTTACAACCTCCATTCTTACCTTAATCTTGCTAATGCTTTAGCAGTATCTTCTTGGCTCACGTTAGGATTGTCTAAATCTTTCCACAATTGATCCACAACTAATTTTACGGTTTTATCATCGGTCTCCACTCCAACTAAAAATGGAGCGACAATTGTAAATTGTTCCGAGAACGCAAGCAAGTCCTTCATTAATTTGTTATTGTTGTTACTAAACTTCAGATATTTCTTCAAAGAGTCCAAAGCGCCTTTCCTCAAAGAGGGCGAAGAATGTCCCAAAATTTTGAGTATTTCTGGAAGAAGACTATGCATTTGAATATCAATTTTGGAAGGTTGTGTCACCGGGATCAGATCCATAAGAACTCGTAGAGCGTGTTGCCGCACTTCTCGTTCTGGATCGCTTAGTTTTTCACGAACTGATTCGTAGAGGAACGTTTCGCTAACTCCATCTGAAAAAAAAAAAATATTTTTTGAGTACAAATTATTATATGAAAAAGAAAAAGGTGATTTATATGAATGTAGAAAATCATAAGAAAAAATGTATCTATTATTTTTATATATTGACATTAATTTGTCCTTTGCTGGCATCGTAATAAACCAGCGCCGGAGTCTGTGGTTCGATACAAACGAGCAGGAGAAAGAATTTGCTGAATATTTAAAAGATTTTCACGCTAGAGCTTTCGAGTTAACCGTGAGAGAATGTAGAAAGTTAGCATTTGAAATTGCTGACCAAACTCAAATTCCCAACCAATTTAATAAAACATTAAAAATTGCTGTGAAAGACTGATTAACCTCATTTAAACAAAGATATAATTTCAGCTTCCAGACTCCAGAATCAACTATTTTAGGGCGACTTATGGGTTTTAATATGGTTGAAGTTACTCTCGATTTTTTGATATTTTAAAAGTAACAAGACTTAAATACAACTTCACAGCGGACAGAATCTTCAACTTCCAAAATATTGTTCCCAACTGGCATCAAAAGAGTAACTAAAGTTGCCAGTTCAGAACGCGTCAAAAATATTACCGTTGTCTGCTTATTTAGCGCAACAGGAACTTTTGTTTCTCTTTGTTTCATTTTTCCAAGGGTTAGAATGCGACCCGAGCTCCTAAATGGAAGGCAGCGCCGGATTAGGCTGGATGACAACGGAATCTTTTATGTCATATCTTGAACATTTTATTAAATTTGTTAAGCCTACAAAGGACAACCCCGTCCTCATCATTGTTGACAACCATACATTCCATCGATCTCTCGAGGCAGTAAATGTATGCAGAGACAACGGTATGATAGATCTACCTCCGCAACCCACCCGTCACCTAAAGCCACTATCCAGGTAGCAATGAATCTTGGCTGTGGCTTGGCAAAATGTTTGTTCCATATTTGAAACTTGGACCAATATTAATGACCTGCAGCCAATATTGGCAAAAGAACTTTATGTTATGACTAAAAGATGTTGCTTTATAATATTGCCTTTATATTAGTCCCACATATGGTTCTAACGTTTATATTGGCAACACCTATTTTCACAATATTGATCCAATATAATTTAGCATTTTTGTTCCAATGTGGGTGAGATATAGTAAATAATGGCAGTTTATTGGATTTTTAATGATTTTTTATTTAGGTTTAATAGATAGGGCCAATCTTGAAGAATTATGTTCTCTAAATGATGAAAAAATAGCAGTTGCCCATATTGGTAACAGAATTCAATTTTATATCAAAAAAATATTTGTTCAAAACATATGATTAATATCAGCCCAACATATTTTTCTAAAGTTCATAGTGGCAATGCCTATTTTTTCAATATTAATCCACTATACAGTATCACTTTTGTACCAATATGGATGCAATATAGCAAATATTGGTAGTTTATTGTATTTTCTATGTAGGTTTAATCTTTATTTAGTACATAGTGCCAATGTTGGAGAGCTATGTTCTGCCTATAATGTAAATATTGGAGTAGGCTAAAGAATTTAATATTGTATTAAAAAAATATTGATTCTACACATAGGATTAATAACAGTCCAACATATTTTTCTAATGTTAATATTCGGCAACGCCTATTTTTTCTATATTAATACAATATAATTTATCATTTTTGTTCCAATGTGGGAGCAATATGGCAAATGATGGTAGTTTATTGGATTTTTATTGATTTTCTATTCAGGTTTAAACTACGTGTTGTTGATATTGCCAATGTTAGAGAGCTATGTTCTCTTAATGATGACAAAATAGCCGTAGCCTATATTGGCAACAGAATTCAGTCTGATATCAAAAAAATATTGATTTAAAACATATGAACAATATCAACCCAACATTTTTTTTTGTAATGTTCATATTGGCAACGCCTATTTTTCTAATATTAATCCAATATAATTTACCATTTTTTTGCAATGTGGGTTCAATATAGCAAATAATGGTAGTGTTTTATTGATTTTCTATCAACGTTTTAAACTTAATTTTTTAGATAGTACCAATGTTGGAGAATTAGTTTCTTCCATCTCATATTGGGCAAATAATTCAATCTTATATCCAAATATAGGATTAATATTAGCCGAACATGTATCCTTTATGTTCTAATTTGCAACGTTTTTTCCAATATGGATCCAATATAAGTTTTATTCCAATGTGGTACAATATAGCAAATAATGTTACTTAATTGGATTTTTATTGATTTTTTTCTACACCCACGTGCATATTATCTATTATCTACATAATTTACATGTGTAGGCCATATCAGTATGCTGAAGGGATTAATCGATTATTTTCCAAATTAAACATTTTAAAACAAGTCGGTTATGGCCAAGTGGTAATTGTTTGCAAAGAAAAAGATTTTGTTTCAATCCATTAAAAATGCGTTGTATGACTTGTGGGTTGAGACGAGACGTCCAATTTTGCATTTTTTATAGAACAACTAAAGAGTTAAATATTCAAATTATAAAAATATAAAGGTAATAATTTAATATGGAAATAGCTGATTTTTAGTTTATGGAAATTTTTATAAATACCTACTACCTATATTAGAAAAGTATTAATTTTGCAAATAAATCCTAATATCAATATATACCTACGAATTTGACCACTACATCACAATATTTTACTTAAACCAAATAAATGTTCTGGACAATTATTATTGTATTAAAATTATTAGGTTTCGAACATTTTACTAAGCAAAAATGTATAAAAACAAACTAACAGCTAGTCCCAGTTTAACCAGAGCTGTTATGAAACCACCTTATACACCCCTCCGACCTAAGTCACGTGAGTGATCACGAGATCACAGGTCAAGCCACGCGCCATCCTGCCTCAGTCTTGTAATATTAATTAACAGATGTGTATTATATACGTACGTCTAGCAACAGGACGCCTCCTGGATACTTGTTTTAATATAAGCTACGAATTTTGTTTAGTGAAAACTGTGCTTTTGAGTGAGGGATGTTTTTTCATAAAATGTAAGTACAATCTTTTTTGCCAATTAACAAATTAGAATTCAAAGCTATGTATTTTGAAATGTTTGCCAATATTAGGCCAATTGTATGCCTATCTCAAATCAATATTGAATCAAATCGTTAATTATTAGACATGTGGCAATCCGGCAGTTTCAGTTTACGTTGTTAAGAGTTGTGCACACATATTAAACCTGTTTTGCTGATTAAAAAGTAAAAATATAATTTGAAATTATTGACAATATTAGGCCAATTGCATGTCTATCTCAAGCCAATGTTAATTCTAATCATTGATCACTATAACCAAATGGTAATCCAGCAGCTTCAGTTTACAATAGGTCTGTTCCAATAGGTACACTCAAAAACCATAATATTACGGTACGGTACAAAAAACACTATGCGCTCTAAGCATAAAGTTCATACAGCGCATGATTTGTACTGTAATATTTTGATACCTACTTAATATTGTAGTTTTTGCGTGTGTAGTGTGTCAGTGTTGCCAGTCTAGTATATTCTTAAAGAATCTGGTATTTAGTACGCTCGAGGCAAAAGCTTTATCTCCAGCGTGTGGGTATGCCTTCATTTGACTGGATGTCTATTAGTGTACCTATTAGCTACACTGTTTTTTTTTGCTCTTTTATGAATATAATCAGACTTTCACTAATAAAACACTTACATAACAGAAAAATATTCTGGCAACACTGTGGTGTGTAGGAATAGACTATTGTCTCAGGTTGTGCATGTGTCTCCATGACCGTGAATAACTGGTACATACATTTTTTTCATTGAATAATTGTTTAAAGAAATAATATTTTCTATTACTAAGATAAAAGTTATTTTGTTTAAACATTTTTAAGAACCTTTCACATAAAAACTGATGTAGTCTTTTTCCTATTAATTAAAATATGTAACACGCCATGATGTAAAATGCCTGATTACCGTTAAAGCTTTATATTTCCACACATTTTCTTTTAAATTTAAGGGTAGCTAATTTTTTGTTTTTTTATTTAAAGAGTTTTCTGAATTATTGAGAAGTGCCTCTTCATCTGGATTTTGGATTGAAAGAAAAATTGTAAGTAGAATGTTTTTCTATTTATTAACAAACAACCGAATTAATCGACTGCATTTTGAAATGATTACCAATATTAGGTTAATGTCATGATTGTCTTGGACCAATATTGATTCGAACCGTGAACCTTAATAAATGTATAAAGATTAAAGTAGGTATTATCATCAAATACATACCTAGGTACCCTATGGTAATATTTAGGACAGTGGTGCCACTTTCGGATTTTTCCATAAATCTCTGGATTTCCATAATCATCAGGATTCTTAACAAAAATATTTTCCGATTTTTATGAAATTACTATTTTTTAATTTTTTTTTTATCTTTTTCTAAGCCTAAAATGTTATAAATATGCTTGTCTTTTTAAACTTTTCCTCAAATTTCTCGAATACGATACATTTTAGAAAAATCATGTATGGGACAAAAATTATAGAAAATGACACCAAAACAACTTTTATTTAATAAATTTTCTTAAAAATTTGAATTGTACACTTTCTCAAATTTCTCGAATACGGTCCATTTTAGGGAAATTATATATAGAACAAAAATTATAGAGAATGACATTACAAGCAATGTTTATGTAAAGAATTTCCTATACAGAAAGTAAAAAACAGTTTGTATTTTTTTGTATCTTTAAAAATATACGTAGTTTATTCATGTATTAGTTTTACACGAAACAGTGCTTAAACCTCACATAAATAATGTTAAACTCAAATAACTTTTAGGTCATTGACCAAAAAATATCAATTTCAGAACTCAAAAATTCCAGACAATGATGGCATTGCATCGTGCAGTTAAGTGCCGAAGAATTAACAGGGCGATCAAACAGTACTTCTCACTTCGCCTGAAATTTCCAATACAAGTACGTCAATATTTTTCAGTGAACAAGGTACAGATCAATAGGAATGTTAGTATGTCATAAAGAGCAGAAATCTCG